TTGATAAATTTCTCCAAAAAATGCCGCTATAACAGGTGGTTTTTATTACTTTTTATTATTCTCTATCCTATTATCTTTGTAAAACCAAAAATCCCATGTCTCTATCCCTATCATAACATTTGCTATGATCGTTTGAACAAAGGCCTGCCACAACATTATTCTCCGCTACAGGTAGAGACAATTTTAATTTTAACTAAAAAGCTTATTTTACTTCGAAATCTTTTGTTTTTATTTGAAATCTAACTTGTCTTTATCAAAATTACAAATCTAGAGCCATTTTCAGTTTCGTTGATAACGAAGCTTTGAATGGCGCGCCCGGAGAGGCTTAGTTCAAACGATCATTGTAAACGTTGTGATAGGGATAGAGATATGCGATTTTTGGTTTTACGAAGGTAATACGATAGAAAATAATACAAAGTGATAAAAACCACCGGTTATAGGGGCGTTTTTTGGAGAAATTTATCAAATAACCAAAAAAACACGAATTTAAAAGTAGATTTTTTTTCAAAAAGTATAATTTTTTATTTTTTGTGTATTTTATGTATTTTTTTAGTATTGCCATTTATTTAGCATTATTACTGTTTTTATTTTATCAGGATATACCGCTTAGTTTAAAAGTTATTACGTTTAATTCTATAAAAAATAAAAAATAAATCTCAAAAAATTTATGACCTCTTTTTTGTCGATAAAAATAGGTCTAGTTTCATATATTTTCATATGTACACTTTAACGTGACTCACACTGTATAATATGGAAGATTTTGTAATTAGACATGTGGGTTTTTCTCTAATTATGCAGACAAGTAGTGTATAATCAACTTATTTGTAATGCTAATGGAACGGCTCGGTGCGGGTGCTCATATTGCGACATTCAACTTACTGTACCTACCTAGGCCATAAGTAATTACCTACATATTAGTAAAGTACGATGGTTACGTAGATAATACGGTCGCTTATAAGTCAGCAGCAATGGAATTACTTTATTATAGTACAACGTACAAAATATGTATTAGATATTCTATCTATATGTGATTTATGTAATTCGGACAGAAATATCTGGAAATAAAGTCACCGATTACCGAAACGAATAACTGTATGTAGGCCTATTCCAACCGACCCATGCCCACCTGAAATCAGTGGAAAGGGCTAGTTTTAGCAGTGGACGTCAAAACGTCAAAACAAAACGTAGCGAATCAGATAACTATTTGAAACTCTAGCAGGAATTGATGGAACTTGTATTGCATTTGCTTTATTTTAAAGGAGCTACTTATTTATTCGTATAAATGTAACTACATATTTCATTAAGTTTATTACTACATTAGTTTGTTTTATACTTAGGTATAGCATTAACATTCTACCTATCTTTATCTATTTTGGTAAGACTCTACATTTATTTTAGGTAGGTACCTACTCCGCGGCACCGCGGGCGGTTCCTGAAATTGTGCTGTTTGTGTTTTATTTTGCTTCTATAGATTTTACAAAACTTTGGGTGTCTTAATCTATTTGACGCTGACTGTATGTATAAAAAAATCGTAGATACCTACATGCACGTTTGCGATATTTAACTACATAAATTAATGTGAGTTTTATACATCACACACATCGCAATGCATCTATCTAATTAATAATTAGATATTATTGATTTAGATAGATCTAGCGCGCAGATTTTATCGCCTCGTTAAAGAAAACTTGCCTAGCCAGCGGTTATGCCTTGGTTGGTTTTATTAAGAGAATTTTATGGCTAAAATAACGCACCATTATTGATTGATGCCTGTCGCAAAATGCTTTTGACAGCGCATGGGATGCGCTCACGTTGATCAGTTGTCACCGGCTACATTGGACGCGTCGGTACCTAACTCCTGCCCGGCTCAGTCAGTGAATGGGCGCGCGCAGGATAGTTTCGAGATTCCACGGACTCCGCCGCGTCTGTATTGTGTGCCATATGCAGCGTCGTGCGTTTGCATCCGTGGCAAAAACGTGCGTGTACCTAATTATAAATGTACCTAAGTACCTACTGTGGAAAAGTGGGTTTATCGGAGTGGCGTTACCAATACCGATACAAATTCAGGTGCTAAGAATTCATAGATGCCATACTTTCACGTTCTTAGTAGGTACGTGGTGCATTTATTCAGTTAGTTTTTCGTAAATTCAAGTTACCGAGCGGCATGCGGCGCAGGTAGATGTCCAATCGCTGGAATTGAATCGGATGCCCTCATTTTGGAGACATTCGGTCGCCGGCGGTTAGGTTTTTGTGAGAGGACCAGTTTCGTGGAATCTAATTAAGTTCAATTAATATTTATTACATTCGTTGAAATTTGTTGTTACATTGTAGGTACCTATTGGTATTGTGTAGGTTAGGTAGTAGGTACCTTGTACCTAAATCGTAGACATCATAATGTGTCCGCAACAATAGAACAGTTTCTATTGTCATTTTTTTTCGATCATAATACAGAATCTCATAAATAAATTTGATTTTTGATTACATAATAGGTGGGTACATTGAATTGTTGTAAAGTAAAGTTAACGATAAATGGGATATGATGGATATAACTAGGTATCACACACAAGTCGATTTTCAGATTCAGATTTTTTTAGCAAGTCTGACGATTGAAAAGTGTTACAGAATAGGTAACGTACCTACATACAAGTGACGCCATCACTAGTATACAAATATTTACAAAATTGACAGTTTCTATTGACTCGGACTAACATCGTAGATAAAAATTGCAATCAGGATTATTAAGGAATTAAAAACTGTTCTCGTAATGAATTAAAATGTGCTTAGGTTTATCAGAGATTTGCCACATCGATTAATCAGCGGTGCATTTGTTCGCGGGAGTGTTGCAGTGCCGCTAATGGCGCTAATTAGATTTGTCTGTCCCCGTCAGTCGCCGAGGCCCACCCACCGCGACCGCTAGATTCCACACCGTATTTTTTACACCCTAATTAAGCTAATTTATCGAGACAATAAGAGAAATTATCGGTAGCGGCTGTGCGGTGACTGCCCGCTTTATGAGAGGTATTAAACTGTCGGGTTTAGGGGCTACCGCGCTACACCCAGCCCGCTTTGATGCTCCAATAAATATACAAAAGATCCCATCAGATAACCGCCGGACGGGCGCTCTTAATGAAAGCTCGGCTGAAGAATTCTTTTGACAATGCCTTAAAATGCTAATAACACGACCGTGCGGCTTCTAGAATGCGTTCCGATAAGGAAGGTGGCGATCTCGCAGGTGGACCGATTAAATGTATATTTTATGGGAGATTAAGTAAACGTGCTCTCAGAATGGGTGTTTATGGCGCGCGTGCTCCCAGTGCGGGCGCTCCGGCGGCCAAGCGAACTCGCGCTCCGCGCTGAACAACTTACTGTGCAAAGTAGGTAGGTACCATCCTAATGAGGTGATTTCATTATTAAATCCACTTTTTTATTTTTAATTATTCAATTCATCGAAGCTTACTTATGCTCTATGGCCTAATTCACTTAGCGTGTCCCTAAGTAGATAGGTACCAACTTAGGTCAATCACTTTTCATGGCACATAATTACCTACTATGTAAATTCATGTCATTAAATTAAATTGACATCGCACCGCACCACGGATCTTCACGATGCATGGAGCCTCACTATGGATCGCTAGATTAGGTATTACCTAATATTTTTACACTCTACTTTGCATGTAGATAAAACACATTGTTTCTCAACGTAAAAGTATAACTCAAGACTATGATAAACTTAAAAACACAAGTGCTAAGTACCTACTGTCTCATGAGCTTCTGAGTAATCCTACCTATCATGGAGATTCATGTTAATAATTTATCATAAATAACACCGGTCAACAAAAAAAAAATTTTTTTTTGCGCATGGATTTTACTTATTATATTCTGATTATATAAGCAAATTTATATAAAAAAGTGCGATTACAAATCGAAAATATTTGCTTTTTAAGAAGTTATAGCGATTTGAATTTTCCATCTTCATAGTAGAATATCCCTAAAGATGCACGTCACATTCTCATTGGGATATATTTATAGATAATTATGGGGGCTTATTCGCAAGAACAAGGGACACGCTTTCATCAAAATATAGTGGGATTTAAGAGACGACGTTACCAAGGCCAGTATACTGAAAGCATGATAGAGTTAGATTTTTATAAGAAAAATCTTCTATGGAACATGACAGGCAATTAGAACTTTTCATTTGTAATAAATATTTGGACTCTATTTTAATTTTTCTCTTGTGAGAATGAATCTTAAATGGATGTTTGGTATGTTTTAGAAAGAATGAAAGAAAGAAAGAAAAAAATATATCTGGCAACAAATTAAATTATCTCTATGTTGATGTTTCATACATTCATTGATATGAATTTTTCTATTTTTTACACATAAAAGCAAATTCAGAACAATTTTTTGTTGTTATTCTTATTTCTAGCCTATAAAGCAATAAAAATAAGTTATGCATAACCCGTGCGCAAAAATGCTGTAGACAGTTGTAATTTAAGATTTCATGGTTTTCCTTTCATTTGATATCAAATTTGTTAGAGATATTTCATCCTATTAAATTACACCCATAGTTAGTTAACCCTGACGATCGACGTAATAAAAATACAGGGTGTAATTTTTAACAGATTTTAGTTAGTTCGATTCCCGGGTGTGGCAAGAAATATTTGAATGCAGTTGTATTTCTTTTAAAAATTTTCTATCTACAGTATTAAGACTTAAGAGTACTTTTCCTCCAGGTGGCATTACATAATTTCACCCTGTATACTTAGCTACCTTGCCACAAGACACCTTGGTTATCCTGCAGGTTAATCTAAAGTAGAGAAAGTCCTACCTAACCTTAGATTAAATAATCTACCTAACAAATAATACTTAATTAGAAGGTAGTTGAGTTATGACAGTAGACACTAGATTAAGATTATCATATTACTAACACCTATGGATCTATGTTTAAAATAAACGTTTTATTATTATTATTAGTTATTAAATATTTTATAAAATCTTACCTTGCCTCATCAGATTCAGGGTTCTTATTATTTTTTGGTCACTTATCTTGCTCTTCTGCTCATAACTATTTTGTAGGTAATCCTAAAACAAAATAGGTAAGTAGGTAAGTACATAAGTTTTTTTTAAACATATTTCAGGCAGATAAATAAGTAACCTAAGTTATTAGAGACATAACATTACTACATTTTAGACTGTTTACTTAAATGTATTGTAGTAGATAACTATGCCAGGTGAGTACTACCTATGTTGGTAAACTTAGCTAAAAGCCACCTATTTACACTTACTTTAAGGCTCACCTCTATCGTGTAGGTAGGTAGGTACCTAATTATAATCATCATAATAAAAACTTTGTAGGATAAATATAATCCATAGAAAACCTACCTAGGTAGTAGGTACCTACCTGTATCAACTTGTATTGTACAAGAAAGTTATGTAGCCATACCTACCTAACCATCATAATTATATCTTATTGTAAAAGTTGGTAGTTAAGTAGGTACCTAGTATGGAAAAGGAGTAAAAATCTCAGTTTTTAAAAGAGGGTCGCGCCCGAAAAAGTTTTTCTGTGACAGACTTAGATTAATAAAATCTAAGGTGACAGACAAAATTTCACGCGGGCGAAGCCGTGGGCGGAAAGCTAGTGATGAAATAAATCAGTCTTTGTTGTTATTTACCTTAGATTATATTAGTCTAAGTTTTTACTAACAAAACTGAAATAACGTAAGTACATACGACGAGTAAGTACTTTAGGTACTTAGGTACTTACCAATGTAAAGTGGTGAAAATTCGATTAAATAGGAGTCAGGCTTTTTGCTTCACAACAAGTGTGTAACGTAAAATCAAAACATTTTGCACGATATATGGAGAAATTCTACCAGTTACTGTAGACACATTAATTATTATTATTAAAAAACAAAATCAAAAATTAAGTTTTAACTTCTAACTTCTAGCGCCATCTTACAAAATTATCGTCACAACTCTAAGTAGGCTGTAGCGCCATCTCGTGGAATAATATTGGTTGTTTCGTTCCACGTGCAGATAAAGAGTATTCTACATGAAAATGTTTTGTTGACTTAGTTTGTTGATAAACAATTAAACAATATTTATATCTTTTATCATATTTTAAGTATTCATTTTGAGTCTTGCACACACTTAGAATAGGATTGTATTTTTTACGCTTTTGAAAAGGGGCAGGTTCTCAATTTGGCGTATTTGTGTGAATTGGAACGGTTGTCATTTACGTCATGGTGGTGTACTCTGTGAACAAACTGTCACGCATGATGACAGCTGTTGTAAAAACTGTGCTTTTTGTTTTCATCTTGTTTGCAACCCTTCTTTCTAATCTCTTCCACTTTCACGAAAACGAAAAACACGGCATCTGCGCAAAAAATGCGCGTATTTTATCCGCATGGCTAGTCTGAATGTCGCAGAATGGACGCCGGATCAGGTGGCGGAGTGGTTGTCAGGTGCGTGTGGGGTGCTATGAGCGGTGGGTCGCGCTGCTGCGGCGAGTGAGTCACGGTCGTGTGTGCAGGGCTGGGGCCGCCGGTGGCGCGCTACGGGCCGGCGCTGCGCGCGCGCGGGCTGGACGGGCGGCGCCTGCTGCTGCTGCGCTGCGACGACCTGGAGCACCTCGGCCTGCGCGTCATCGGCCACCAGGAGCTGCTGCTGGAAGCCGTTGAACATTTGAGGAACTTCGTAAGTCATACTTCATATTTAATCTTAGTAATGTTGTGAGAGATAAGCTGACGATGATGGTGTACCATGGACTTACTGCGAAGAGTGCTAGTGCTCCTAATACAGTGATTTATGAATTGGCTTTTACAGAAAATTGATCTGATACTATTGATCCTGCATCAACTATCCTATTCTAATCAGATCCTGTTTTGTTAACTTAAGTCTGTTTCCCGTATTCAATCCTCCGATTTAAACTGTCAAAATTGAATCTGTTTTCGATAAATGTATAATTTTTGATGCATTTACACTTTAATATTGCTTTAATAGTCTTTTAAACAATATGAAAATCTAAAAACATCAAAAACCATAGATGTTGACCAAAAACATATTGAAATTTGACAGTTGACGGACGGATTTAGATTAGGATTGCATATAGAAAACCTGCCCCCCTAGACAAAACGCACTTTTTGATCGAATCGAAAATCGAATCTGTCAAAACGGGGAACAAAACGTCCATACAAAAAAGGGGCTTTTCGACCACTTTTCAACTGATTTGCGATTATAATTTGCACTTTGTATAGACCCACAGCATTAGACTGTCATACTAAATTACCTACACAATGGACATCCAATTGATATTATTTTTATTAACTAAAAAAAAGTTTGTCATCAATCTTACTTGATTTAAGATCTTGATAGTGCTTGATATTCAATTATGAATCTCAACTTTAAAAATTATTTTTAATGCAGATTTTGTTTCATTATTCTATGCTAGCTGTGCCTGGGAGTTTGCAAGTGTGAAAATAGTTTGAATAATATTTCGTTTTTGCAACACTTTTTTTCACTTCTGCTTAGGGTTGCCAACTCTTGAAAGGACCAACCCGGGAGAATTGTGGGGGGGGGGGGGCTTGCTCCATAGTTGCTCCATCACACTGAATACACGCTCGAATGAAGCATTAATAGAGACAGGAATGGAAAGAACAAACGTGACCATTTTTTTTAATTCAGGATTTCTGTCTTTCGATTTCGTAAAGAAGTCAACCCAGCGTAAATCCACTCGGTTGCACCTCACGCAAAAGTCCAACCTCATCGTACAATTTGTCACTATCTATGTCAATATTTAATAATTCCTGGAGTTTAGTAATCCTGGTCCATGAGATTGTTAAAGATAAAATTTATAAACAAGTACGAGCAGCAATGGATGCATTTAATTTTTAGAAATACCGGAGAAAATATTGCTCTCCGGGAGGTCGGGAGGTTAACCATTATTTCCGGACTCCCGGGTAATCCGGGAGGGTTGGGAACCCTACTTCTGCTCCTATTGGCCATAGGGTGATGTTATATAGCCCAAAGCATTCCTTGATTAATGAACTATCAAACACAAAAATATTTTTTCTAATAGGACCTGTAGTTCCTGAGATTAGCGCGTTCAAGCAAACAAACAAACTTTGCAGCTTTATAGTATAGACGTGTAATTCAAGAAGGCAATAAGTTTGAGTCATGGCATCCTTAAGTATCTCTTTTGATTGCCACCAATGTTTATGATGAGGCTGAGTCATGACACTGTTTGCATCACTTATCTGGAAGCTTATCTGTGACATTGGGCTTCTGAACATTGTTTATGTGGCATTGTTTGCTGTTATCATTTCATACTGTTAAATATATTTTAATAATTTTAAGCTCAAATGATAAAATAAGTGAAAAGCTATGTATTTGTTCCTACATTAAATGATATACTACCTAATTTATATTTTTTATTGATATTTCAAAATAATTGAAAATTAACAGTAGCCTGTGGCTTCTCCCATGTTTATATTGATTGTTTTCTGAAGGTCTGTAGACTGTAAGTCCCCATTTCTTTTTATGACCAATTTTAAAGAAAAAAGGTGGTTCTGAAACCTTAATTCTTGGCAATTAATCATGACGTTCACAAACAGTGCTTCATTTGAAATATTATTTTTACACTTATTGCAGAAATTACCACAGACATCCATTGACATCATAGAGCATGTCATAGTGAAGGATGAAATAAATAGATCAAATAGGGTTTAATATTAATAAATAAATAAAATAAAACAACTAGCCATTCGGCTAATCATTAGATATCATAAGCAACACAAATTCAATGTTTTTGAAAAAACTTTTGGCTCTCATTGCTTTTTATTTTGTGAAGTTTCGCCCTTATCCTAGTTCTAGCAGAGGTTAAAGAGGTCCTGCGCCGCTAAATTTGTTCATTTTGCCGCTTTACATCGATTGCTAAAACATCACGTGATGGGGATGTTATGGATATGTAGTTTCGGTTATGGATATAGGAATAATATTATACCGGTTTCGGTTACGGTTACGGATATTTTTTTATTTCGGATATTCGAAAGTTACGGATATCCATAAAATCCCTGGCGTGAACGGTGCATTCCAAAAATGCGTCAACGGCGACAAAATGCAGCATTCAAACCACTTAACCACCACACATCGAACGCGGTCACGCTCACCGAGCTCGAAGGCCGCGCTCGTCGCTCCGCGCCCGCGCTTGTCGAGCTCGGGTCGTCAATGGTTCCGTTCCAGCAATACGAGTCGCGGCGCGAGTGCGTGCAGCAGCTGGCGGCGCGCGTGTCGGGCGCGGCCACGGCGCTGGCGCGGGCGCTGCGCCGCGCGCCCGACGCGCGCCTCGACACGCAGGCGCTCGCCGACGTCGCCGCCACCGTGCGCGCCGTCAAGCCGCTCGTCTGCTGGCTCGACAGGTACTCAACTTAGAAGAAACTTTCAAAATTCAAATTTTCAAATTTCAAATTCAAATAGTGTTTATTGTGAAATCACAGGTACATAAGTCAGGTCATTAAATTTGTATGATAGATCAGCTGTGTTCCGCCGCATGGGCATACAATAATGGTAAGATACATGATTTTAAATTGGTCAAATTACATTTTAAGAAATTGATAGGTAGTAAAAATCCATGACACTGTTTCGTATCTGTTTTTTTTTAAATTTATTTTATTTTATTCGGAAAGCCAACAGCGACCGATACGAATAATTCAAAATTAAATTATATCTAATACTGAACTGAGCCGTTTACAGGTAAAGCCTGGTCCGTGAGCACGTAGAATTTTGTCCAATGACCCCAAGCTAGCCATCCTTATCGCTCGCGTGTAATTATGTTGCTGTCGCGACTGTGCGACGGGCGCCCGCAGTGAGTGTGCGAGCGCGACAGCAACATAATTACGCGCGAACGATAAGGATGGCTAGCTTGGGGTCATTGGACAAAATTCTACGTGCTCACGGACCAGGCTTTAATCGCAAACGGAAATCTAGATGTGAACAGACCATTAGCCGGTACAAGTGATTTCTAGATTACAAGGTTTATAGAACGCACAAATAAAAGCGGTCATGAATAGTTTTAAGCGTCGCTCTGACTCCGGGCGGGCGGTTGCAGGTGGCCGCTGCTGGGCGGCGTGCTGGCGGAGCGCAAGGCGCAGCTGCTGCAGCTGGCGCTGGAGGCGGCCACGAGCGCGCAGCGCGACCGCTTCGCCGAGCAGCCCGCGCGCGCCGTGGCCGCCGCCGCCGCCGCCGCCGCCGCCAGCGCCGACTACATCGTGCAGGTGAGCGGACACACTAAAGGACAATGACCAAAAGTGGTCCAAATGTCCACCACTAATGAGATCTATATTGGCTTATACCTTATAGTCCATTAAATAGAGATTAACTTTCAGTATGGGACGAAAAAAAATATAAGCTGTCAGTAAAAAGTTATGACTGTTTGAAAAATTGTAGTAGTTTACGCGCTAATCTCAGGAACTACTGGTCCGATTTGAAAAATTATTTTTGTTATGTTTAGCCCATTTTTCAAGGATGGTTTTACGTTAAATAACATCACCCTACAACCAATAGGGGCGGAGCAGTAAAGACAACTATTTACTACTTAACTATTTTCACGCGTACAAAGTCGTAGGTACAGCTAGTATAATATATAATATTTAATAAAATTCATCTATAAACCCGCGCCACATGCGACATGACATAACATGCGTAGCTTAGTCCAAAATGTGCAATGGATAGAATGATATCAAGAACATTTTTCGGATGAAAACTGACTGACTGATTTACTGACAGCATATTTTTGATTGCGGTTTGGTTATAATGAAACAGTATTTAGTAGACTATTTTACTACATAGGTCTCGTTAGTGGTGGACATTTGGACCACACTCCATACATTTTTGGTCATTGTCCTTAGCTGGCATTTTTATGAGACAGCCTGTCCAGTTGCAATGTTTGTTAGAGGTCAGTGTGACACGTCATAGAGGTTTACCGTTTTCGCGCACACTTGTGTGTCATTGCGGCAGCCTGACGTTAGACTGGCCTGGTATTTAACTACTCTAACGGTTAGAGTAGTCAAATACCAGATATTTATTATTATTGACGGGATTGCTACCATGTACCTTAATTTTGAGTTTCTGATATTTCGGCATGATAGTGAATATGAAAATTTAAAAAAAATATATTACCAGGTGTATTAACTTTTTTAATTCAAAGTGTTCAATAAGCTAATATCTTAATTCAAAGTTCTAATCGTAGTAAATTACTTCTATAGTGCCACGATTCTGAAACGTCAAGTGACAAAAATCAAATACACAGTATCGATAGAAGCGCCCTCTTGACAGACTTCTGTGTTGATTTAAATGTGGAACGTTATATCAGCCGCATTACCATCCGTCAGGACGTGTCGGACCCGATGATCCTGCAGCCGGCGTCGCTGGACGCGGTGACGCTGCGGCAGGGCGCCAAGCCGCTGGGCTTCACCGTCGTGCCGTCCTTCTGCGGCCACCACCAGCTCGCCGACATCCGCTTCGGCTCGCCCGCGCACGCCTCGGGCGCCGTGCACGACGGCGACGAGATCGTGCAGGTCGGCCTCGTTCAAAGTCAATCGCACGAGCCGAATGAGGGTTTCGCGAATGAAAAATCCGCCAGATGGCAATACGTAGACGCGAGGTCCAAATAAATAAATAAAATACATAAATAAATAATATCTTTAGAAATTTTACACTGCGCTTCTAGTTCCAAACTAAGCAAAGCTTGTACTATGGGTACTAGACAACTGGTATAAACATACTTAAATACTTTTTTTTTGTAAATACATACTTAATATACATAGAAAACACCCAGTCCAATACAAACAAATATGTTCATGGCATGAACTTCATGCACACAAATGTTTGTACTGTGCGGGAATCGAACCCTGCTGAATCGGGAAATGCTGCATGATTGGTTATTTTTGACATGACATTGACAAATATGTCAAAAATCAAAATCCACCAATCACGCAGCAATCGGACCCCACGTCCACGTCCCGCCATCTAGCGGATCTTCGATTCGCGAAAACCCTCATTCGAACGTGACGTTATTTATTTTCCCGTTTTCGCGTCGAAAGGTGGGGTCGCAGTGCGTGATCGGCTGGAGCGGCGAGGCGGTGCTGGCGCTGTGCGGCGCGAGCGGCGCCGAGCTGGCGCTGCGGCTGCGGCGCCGCGCCGCGCGCCCGTCCGCCCTCGCCGCGCCGCCGCTGCTGCGCGCGCGCTACCGGCTCAACCACCTGCCGCTGCGCCGGGACAGGTGAGCGCCCGCCGCCGGTGCGAGGGAGAGTCGTTTCAGCTCGGAATGACAACTTCTCAAAATGACAACCGAGCCGCAAAATGTCCACTTCTCGAAATGACAACTTCTTAAAAGACAACTTCTCATAATGTCTATTTTTCACAATGACAAATTCGCATTTGGTCTACTTCGCATAATGTCAACTACTTGTTGATATTTTATTTTCATTATTTCTAGAGTTCTAGTTCTTCTAGAGTTGTCATTATGTGAAGTTGACCAAATGCGAATTTGTCATTGTGAGAAATAAACATTATGAAAAGTTGTCTTTTAGCGAAGTTGACATTTTAAGAAATTGTCATTTCAAGAAGTGGACATTTTGAGAAGTTGTCATTCCGAGCTGAAACGGGAAGTCGTTGCGAGGATCCTCTGTCGCCCGACTGACTCCTTTTGTTCCGTCCGCAGCTTGATGTCGACGGTGCGCAGCGTGCGGCCGGCGCCGGCGGAGAGCGCGCCGCCGCCGCACTCGGCCGCGTCGTCGTCCGACGAGAGCGAGCCGCTGTCGCCGCCCGCCTCGCCCGACCACCTGCACCTGCCGCACACCCGGTGAGACCCGTTGGCGTATCTGGGCTTCTGACCCTGTATAAACCTCCCATGAAACTTGTTTGTGTTATTTGCCGAGAGATGTCACTGCTCTTTGAGACGCGTAAAGCTGTACCGCGGTGTCCAGATTTTTTTCCCCGACTTTATACAGGGTGTTAGGTAAATAGGTATATGAGCCGACACTAGCCCATGTTATAGTCTATCCAATATAGCTTGATTAGAATGACAGCTGCCATCAAAAGTAACGACATAACTTTGTAGTAGCGATCAATGAGAGCTAAATATTGGCGGACAAGAAATAATTCACGTCTGACCTACAAACAATATTTTCGACGACAGTGCTTCCAATAAAAATGTTAATTTCGTGTAAATGCAGCCTTAAATTACACCAATAAGTAGTAATTCGAAATTATAAAAATCAAGCTAGAGTATTAACGACGTCTCTACAAGGTTATCTCGAGATACAAAAATGTTAGTGTTGGGACATATCGACAAATGTCATATTAAATTAAAACAAATTGTTTAACATATTTAACAAAAATTTTTTCTAACTATTTTTTTAACATATTTAAGTCAAGTTATACGTTTTTCTAAATGTTCACTATCAAAAACCAAAAAACATTTCATTTTTAAATAATCAAACATCGAAAATCAATCACCGGTAATTTTTTGGGTATTCATAGCTAGAGATTTCCACCCGGGTAAAAACCCACATGAGGGTAAAAACCCAATAAAAACCCGTTTCATTCCACCCGTGGGTGTTTACACCGGGTGAAAACAAATAATTTTATAATTATTTCAATTGGTATCTTTTCTTTATTTTTATTGAATTTTTCTCATTTAAGTTTATTGATTAATAAGTAATAAGTCAAAATTAACACTAATATGCATTTATATCGTGGCCAAATCGTAAAATTGATCACGTTATGATGATGTGACCAATTATTTTATAAAATGGTGTTATTTCAAGAATCGTTGAACCGATTTAGAAGAAATTTAGTAGGAACACAGTAATTTGTGATCATGGCAAGGACATGGAGGGGGAGGGGGGGACGATGCCAAAGATGCCAAACTCTCTCTTTGATGACATTACGGTATAAAGTTACAAATAACAACACCAACTACAAAGTACTTCTGCTTAAAAACTTGAAATCGAACCGCCCTTCCGCCACTGTAACGCATTGTAACGTTTTTCAAGACCTCCTCTCCCCCCAGATTGCATTACGTAACACTAGAACGCCCCCTTAGCAACAAATACCACTTCTCACTTTTAAAAAACGCTATTTTTGTTTTCACCCACCAGAATGGGTGATAATGGGTAAAAACCGGGTTTTTACCCAAATCACCCGGTTTTAACCCAATCGGGTGAAATGGGTTTTTACCCACTACCCATCTCTATTCATAGCACCGTTGCTCTAGAAGAGATGCCCACCGCCCTCTAGCGAGAGGAAAAAACCACTGAAGAACACTGATGATAATGACTACGACTTAGGTTGTACACCCTTGACATGAATTTTAAATTTTACTGTCTTTAAATTTAAATCATAATTGTCATTTTTATGAATAAAGATATGAAGAAAAATTGGGTGCATTTTTTTATATCATTTTTTCGAAAACTTATCGATACATCTATGTGAACCGTACGAAACATACCCAGCACTAGTCACATTCGTTTGACAGCCGTCATTCTAATCAAGCTATATTGGATAGACTATAACATGGTCATATAAATGGTATGGTGAAGTCAGAGAATTGATATCTTCATTTTAATTATTTTAATTTTCATACAAATCGGATTTTATAAAATTTATTTTGTATGAAAATTTATAAAATTAAAATGATGATATCAAATTTCTCACTTCACCATACCATTTATATGACCATGTTAACATGGGCTTGTGTCGGCTCATATACCCATTTACCTAACACCCTGTATACCTGGACGGCTTTGACATAATTAACCTTTGACAACCAATGTGAACCATTGACAACCGTTGTCAAGCAATAAATTGTCACCTAAATATTCACGTCTTATTTAAACCTAGATAAGAGTCCCTTAAGTGCGCCAAGAGTATCCGTGGTTTATTCAGACCCTGAAAACGCAGTATTTTTTTTACTAGTTTCGGTGTCAGGGTTCACCCCTTCTTTGACCCGAATGCTTAAATTTTATTGTTATTGTTTTTCAGGGGGGCCTGGCCCCTGATATGCCTTGGCGATTAATATCATAGCTCATGAGTTAGTACTCTCAACTATATTCTTCAAATCAGTAGGTAGTCCAATATCCTGCTGCGTACCAGACCAGGCCACTCCGGTCCCTCCGCTATACATATACGCGCATCGACTCGGCCCGACCGATAAAGGCCAAGTTTGTCCAGGTGAAAACTTAATTAACTAGAAACGACGAGATTATCCTTCCTTCCTTCGAATTCCATCTCTCGATAGATGCGCTCTCTAGGTTATCACCTAGAAGTCTGACTTTTAGTCTTCATCGTCGGCAGGTCGATTCGTCTTCGCCGTCGGGACACGACCTTGTCCGATGCAGAGGTGAACTTGAACGGCTACGGGGACGGTTCTGTTCTTACAAGGAAATATTTTTGTTTGTCAGAATTTTCCCGCCGAAGCCGCGCTCCGCCGTCCAACGCCGCCACACGATCAGCTGCGGCAGCCCGCTGTCCAAACGACCGAACCTTCCGATCGACCAGGTGAACGGACGATTCGTCGTCTTTTATTTACAACTAGCTGTGCCCGCGACTTCGTACGCGTGAAACCCGTTTTCGCAACATTTATCATTATTGCTCTGCTCCTATTGATCGAAGCGTGATGTTGTATAGCCTATAGCCTTTCTCGATAAATTGGCTATCTAACACTGAAAGAATTTTTCAAATCGGACCAGTAGTTCCGGAGGTTAGCGCGTTCAAGTAAACAAATAAACAAACAAACTCTTCAGCTTTATAATATTAGTATAGATATAGATTCGTCGTTTTGTTTCGTCCGTCACCCTGCACGATCACAAAAATTATGGCCGTTTCAGTTCTGGCGTCAACTGCGGGAGCACAAGTGGGAACGAGGCGACCCGTCGGATCGCGACGACTCGACCCTCTATCGACGAGATAAGGTAAAATTTGTAATCATACAATCTATCGTAATAAGCGGATCGGATTCGTCCGAACGACAAGCTTTCGGAGCCATCGCTGGCGTTCGATCGTGCGGCCCGTGATCCGTTGCGAGGGATTCAGGGTCGTCGTCAAAGATATTCTCGTGTGGTGTTGCAGGCGGTGTCGTACAGCGCGGGGCTGGAGCGCGCGCCGCGTGCCGCCCTGCTGCGCGCGCCCGCCCTGCCCGCGACCGCCGCGCCCGCCCCCGCCCCCGCCCCCGCGCCCCCGCCCGTGCCCGCGCGCGATCGTGAGTGATACATTATAAAGCCTGCTCCGTGAGCACGTACAATTTTGTCCACATGATTTGTATAACGTAGATAGTTATTGTAATTTGTATTATGTAATTAGCACATTATTTTTATTTGTTGTATGTAAGTATGTAGAGATTGAACATTGAACCTGTATTAACGTAGATAATAATTTATGTATGTTATTGTAGTTAGCGCATTATTTTATTTTTTCTTATTTAAAGGGGGGGGAGTACTGTGCCGGTATGCACAATACTTAATCTCTTCATATCTTATCTTGATCACGTTCACAGTGTCAGCACATTTATCACGTATAGTGCTGATGCTGTGACGTCATTTACCTTTGATCTTTATCGTATAAATAGTCGCGCAGTTCACATTAATAAACAGATTAATAATTGAGACTAACTACAACCCGTGTCTCATTCATACGGTCTCCCAACATGGCACAAGTTCATAACGTACGATTATTCTGTCAAACGCTTGAACTGTCAAATGATTACGATTGCTTTACACAATTCCACCTCAGGCCTAAGTTAATTAATTTAAAGTTTACATTTTAATATTTTTTTTTCACGAAGCAGACTCATCACAATAACAGTCACCCAAACATTAATTAATATATTTAGTCCNCCCCCGCCCGTGCGCGCGATCGTGAGTGATACATTATAAAGCCTGCTCCGTGAGCACGTACAATTTTGTCCAATGACCCCAAGCTACCCATCCTTATCGCTCGCGTGTAATTATATTGCTGTCGCGACTGTGTGACGGGCGCCCGCAGTGAGTGTGCGAGCGCGACAGCAACATAATTACGAGCGCAGATTGTTATTTTATTGTATAACTTATTTTAGCTTAGTATTATTATGTTTCACGTATAGTCAGCGTCGAACGGTTCGTGACACCCGAAGTAGGAAAAAAGTTCGCAACGCGGCCGTTCCGACCGGAATGACGTTGAGTCGTCGACTCGTCCTAACTTCATAATGTCACCATATTTAATAATAATATGTTGCGTCAGCACCGATAACTTAGATCAGTGTGGCATGGAAGAATCACGATTCTTCTACAGCCCGGTCGCCGAGCCCGAGCAAGTAGAATTTCGTCCAATGACCCCAAACTACCCATCTTTATCGCTCGCGCGTAATTATGTTGCTGTCGCGCTCGCACAGTCGCGACAGCAGTATAATTACACGCGAGCAATAAGGATGCGTAGCTAGGGGTCATTGAACAAAAATCTACGTGCTCGGCGACCGGACTATAGGCGTGTAACGACCTCATATATCGACAGAAATGTCATTCGGATCGCTCCGATTCCAACGTCACCGCGTCATCTTCCTCGGTCGCCCGCCCCGACGTCGAGAATCGGGAACGGTCTCGTTTCCAAAGTTTTAAGGCCTATTCAGACCTAAGCGGTATTCGCTACCGTTTGCGGCAGAGAAAACCCAGTGGGTATGCGGTAATGATACTGTTCAGACCTAAGCGGTATTCGCTACCGTCTGCGGCAGAGAAAACGCTCTAGCCGAGGTACCATGATACTAAATACCTGAGCGAAACCCGCGTGGTAATTACCTCTACCCACAGCGGCAGCGAATATCGCTCAGGTTTGAATAGGCCTTTAATTTCGTTCCGGTTCCGCAGCGGCCGGCGGCACGAGCGGCGCTCAGCGCGGCCGCCTGGACAAGAGCCACTCCACGCCCGCGTACGACTGCGACGACGCCGCGCCCGCGCCGCCCGCCGCGCCCATCCCCGAGTCGCCGCCGCCCGCCGCCCCCGCCACCCCCGCTACCCCTGCCACGCCCGGCGACAGGTACTGATTCATATTCAACCTTAGATTAATAAAACCTAGATGGATAGTCTTCATACAAACGCTTCGTCAAGAGTGTCAATTTTGTTGAGGAGTGTAAACAGTGAAGGCGATTTTCCCGAAAGTAGGGAAATTTTTAATACTTTTTAAATTATTTTATAATTAACAAAAACAAAACGCATCATGTAGGTACTTACTTATTTATTGAATTCAAAATACCGACCTAATTACAATAAGATAAATCGACTTAAAAATCTCGATTTCATAAAAAAGAAAGTGTATTTGTACGGCGAACAATTGGGAAATAAATTTTCTTGTTACTGGTATCATTCCCGTATATAATTTTTGAAAGCCAAATTCAAGCAAAATACACGTCGAATTGTAGTACTTACTTATGAAATGTAACACTAGTCACTTTCTTTCGTTTTTCTGATGTATTTTTGACACCCTTTCCGGGCACAAACCGTTTAAATTAATTAAAATTCGTCGGACGTGTTTACCAATTTTTCACTTTGACAGTCAACGGTTGTGACGTTTACGGGTGAACCGTTCCGGCTCACTAAAAACTGCCTCACCTTTCGTGCTCTATCTATCTAGGTCAACGCTCTTTTACCTCAGATTGATATCTTTTTGTACGTCCGAAACGGACAACCGTCGAAACCGACTCCGTTACGTTTATCCGTTGCGTGTTACGATTCCAGTCCGACGATATTCGTCCACTCCGCCGAGAAAGCGGATCAAATATTGGACTTCAAGAAGTCGAGCTCCCAAATCGGGGAGGCGATCCTCCAGCAGCGCAGCCGCCGCGCCGCCGACGAGCCCGAGCACGACGCGCCCGAGCCCCGCCGCCGCTCGCTGCTCGCGCCCGCCGCGCCCAGCCCGCCGTCCAGCGGCGACGAGCGCCGGGCGCCTCCCAGGTGAGACGCGCGCTCCACAAAATATAACAGAAGGTAAACTCCATACTAAGCGCGCTCGAGTCACGCACACATAGACACCGCTCACGTACTCGTTATCAAGACTGTCTCGGACGAATGCGAGGCGCGACTGCGTTCGCTTGAATGACGCTGCTCACGCGTTTGTGAAATTATTTTTTTGTGCGAAAATGAGTGAACAACAAAAAAGGGGTATTATAATGTTATACAAATGCAACCATCTACTTAACAAGTTTGTTAAGTAGATGGTTGCTTACACTCAACATTAAAAACTAAATTTTCGTTTTTTAAACTACCAATTGATTTCGGGAGGTAAGTAAGGTATTTATTTGTATTTCAATAGTTCGTTTAACGTTGACAAATTGAAAGCCAACTCAATTATTAGGAATATCGAAGTGTTTTAAAGAGGTTTTAGGAATTATTGGATAATAGTGTCAACCATCCAACTACATACTACGTGATACCACAGAATAATAATAAGTACTACGTACAGAAGTTTTACTTCGCGAAGGTATTTAAAAAAATTTATGCTCAATGTCATTAACAATATGGTGTAATTTAGCCTGTCTCAAGAGTCAAGCACCATTTTGTTGACAAACGTCAGTGATCGGCACTGCGCCGAAGTTATAGGGCTGACTTCGGTAAAATGATGTGACGTGAGGTGCCAAACTGCGGAAAATGGCTGAGGAAATACATGATTTAGCATGAATTATCATGAATATTATTAACTACTCATTTACCTCTCAGTGTCTTGAGGCAACTTAAAAAAGTACATTCTGTGTTTTTATTATTATTTAGGCAGTTAAATACTGCACAGTATTTAGTACACCATTTTCTTTATTTTCTTCCATCATACACAAGAATACGCGTGCGTGAGTCAATGTTCGCTCGTATGTGAGGCCTTGTCGATTCATAGTATCGTGGAGGCGGGCCATCGTGCGTGTTTTGTTTTCGATGTAAACTCGTGGAGATGAACAGGCCTGGTAAAACTCACGAGCGCGTTCGTTTCAGACGGGCGCGGCTGGAGCGCGCGCCGTCGCCGCCTGCGCGGCCGGCGGGCGGCCCGGCCTACCCCGTGCTGCGGGCCGTGCCGCGCGAGCCCGCCGCGCCGCCCGCGCCGCACCGCCCCGCCAAGCTGCACGCCGGCCAGGTACGACCGGCGGCCCGCCGGGAATCGAACCCGCATCTCGTCAAAATCTAAATTATCTTTATTTGTTTAGGGGCCATCCATAAAGTACGTCACACGAATTTCATGATTTTTTGACCCCCCCCCCTCCGTCCTTGTCACAGGTGGTCACATTTCTGAGACCCCCCTCCCTAGTGTGACGTCACATGTTTTGCAATTTCACATCGAAAAATTATTAAATTAACAGCAGTTCCGAAATTAGTTTTATTTCCACTTAAATTAAGTAATTTTTTTTATGANTTAGACTAATTAAATTAGTACTTGCAAATCGTCAAATGCTCTTAAGGAGCCTATACATGTCTCATTCTTTTTTGCCCTATCAGCGCTTCGAGACAAACATTTGGCAAGTGCTGAGAAGAAGCGCCGCAACGAACTCAGTCTCTGTCTGCCGGTTTAAAAATATAAAAAAGTAGGAAGTCACAATACATTCAGAAGCAGGTTACTTACTTACCACGCGCTCCCGTTGATAGAAGGTGGCCTTTAAGACTCCCATCTAGCACGAGACCGCGTGGCAGTTTTGAATATATTTCTTTAGTGCCGTGCTAATTTCTAGGTTAATTGTTGCGTTTTGATACACATAATTTTATGTCAAGTATATCTTTCATTGACCAGTCCCCGAAGGCAGCGCCTGTTCACAGACATGACATGTGAACCAGCCATCGCTTCACTCGACCATATTATAGGGAATGTAACGACCCGCCTCAATCGCCGTCGCTCGTAGAATTTGTGTGCGGTCGAAGAAAAACAGTGCTCGTTTTAAACGCTCTTAATGTCGTTCCGATCCGCAGATATCCCTGCCGCTCCGTCACATAACGAAGCACGACATCAAGGTGATCCCGAGCGAGCGCCGGGAGCTGCCGCCCATCAACGCGGAGGCGGAGGCGCCGGCGGCGGACGGCAGGCCGGAGCGGCCCGACGGCAGGCCCGAGCGGCCCGACGGCAGGCCCGAGCGGCCCGACGGCAGGCCGGGCGGGCGCAAGGACAGCGGCTCGGAGGGCGAGCCGCGCGGCCTGACGCTGTCGCCGTCGGCCGCCGCCGTCAAGAGTATATTCCCCACCTCCAAGTCGAGGAGTTTGAAGAAAAAGAATTCCATCCTTGCGAGTACGTTTTTATTATTATCAATTATGCTTTTTAACATTAAACAGTGTTCGCCACCGTGGTGGTGGGAGAGTAGTGATTGTGTTTACCTACATAGTTTTAGGAGGAACGAAGAACGGCGTACGATAAATGTTTATTATGGAATTTCAGTTATCGTAGGTAATATAATATTATTTTACAAGCTTAACCATCTTGAACGCCAGGTCACTGGGCGACTGAACGACTGAACCGACATGGTAGCCCCTTTCATTGTTCTTGGACTGGACCTGTCATTGGCCTATGGTCACGCCGGCGATGGCGATCTGCACGCGTCGGTGTGGTCGAAGCATAACTCGGTCAGTCGCTAAGGGCACGGGAGTCTAACGTTGATGTGTCTAAAACACTCGTGCCGCTCCCACACCTCAGGCACTGATTGAGTTTCCCGCTAGACATACTTACATGGTGTTAGTGCTCATCCTTTAATCTGGTAGCTCAGTATCATGTATAGTCCAAAACCGATGAAAAAAAAAATCTTATTTAACCTTTTTGTACAATAAATAGGTATATTCCGTCCGTGTGTGTTCTAGGCGTGCCAAACAAAATGTGACCCCAACACCAACAAACAGAAATGGTGCTCCATTCACGCTACCTTAATGACTACCTGAACCCGGATATAGTGTTTTCACAAAGAATCTTAAAGAAGAAAAGGAATTTAAAATAAAATAAAAATCTGTGAATCTGTGTTTTGTTTGTGTTAAATTGAGGTTTGCTTTTACATTATGATATTGTTTTAAGAAGTAACTACCGACATTGTCACGAGTTTAACATTGAACGAGCGGGAGTAACTGACGGTCTTGACGTCACCGCGAGTGGCGTGATGCGTACGTCACGCCGCGCGCGCTTGCGTCGTACTGCAGTGCAGCGCGGTATAAATGTAGGAATGTAAAAGAAAACAAATTTTTTTTTAAAATTTTGTTGAAACGTTCAAATAGTGAAACGGTAAAATAAACCGAATGAAAGGAATGAATGAAAGGTGCGGGGCTCGCTCTCTATCGTCCCAACTGCTATGACGTGCGAATGTGCTCCGCTATTATTTAATAATTTTGGACAAATACGGTAATTTTCACCAATTTGAAAGTTGAGTTTCTCTGGAGAACCCCCGGCCCTACATAAATGTAAGTTTAAAAATAGCATCACATATATTTTACATCTTTTTTAAACTTCACTACAAGGCACTGTTGCGAGAGCGTCGACCGGATGCGGGTAGCTTAAGTTTCAATCAAAGTTTTCTTAATCTTAATCAACCTTTCGCGTGCCTCAGCACTCATCGGGTCGCAACACACTCACTTTCGTATCGCTTCTGGAACCTCTGTATTCGGTCGGTCAAAAGGAGCGGGCGTCGAAACGTCACCGCACGTAGTTCAGTGGTTCTAGACAAAGTGCAAATTATAATCGCAAATCAGTCGAAAAGAGGTCGAAAAGCCCCTTTTTTGTATGGAATTTTGACGGATTCGATTATCGATTCGATCAAAAGGTGCGTTTTGTCTAGGGGGGCAGGACGAATCGGGAGCGTTTCAGACATTCCGCACACTCGCATTTGACACCGACACGCGCAACGTATTTATCGAAAAGATCGCAACTCCATTGTCGCTTCTCGTCCCCAGAGCGGCGGCTGGTGCCGGCGCGCGCGCTGGCGGCGTGGGGCCCGGGCGGCGCGGCGTGGCAGCGCGTGCGGCCGCGCGGGGCGCCCTCGCCGCGCTGGGCGCGCCGCCACCTGCTGCTGGCGCACGCCGCGCTCTACGCCTACCGCGCGCCCGACGTGAGTATAGGGTGTACAGAAGGTCGAAAATAACAAAATATGTTCACCTATCCAGCCATCAACAATAGCATGCAAATATATCGAAGAAATATTGATATTACATATAATTATTACGGTATTAGTCATAGACCCGTGCCATTAAATTAACACCTAATGCTATCGAGTGGCACCACTGGTGAGTGACACGACCTTACTCTACAGTGGCACTGACTGATGACGGCAAATACGATAGCTCATAATCAAAACACATTATTTACTATTGAATTACTGAATTTGTGATTGGTGGCGTGCCCAAAATATTATGTCGCGTGCCATCATTGGCACGCGTGCCATTGGTTCGCCAACCCTGACCTACACCATCCACCGCCACCAGCCTGGCTCCCAGGCTCGATGCGATCGCCGACTGAAGTTTCACATTCGTCGTCGTATGAGTGAAACAATAGGACCCGCTTCGATTGCTCCAGCGAAATCCCAAATTATTTTCCAAGATTAAATCTCTAGGGTGTAGTTTTTTAAAAAGTTTTGATAAGTCACTTATAAGCGTTATCGGTTATCATCACAATATCAAAGGGTCTCGCTGGCCGCTGGAAAACAATTAACAGTTTTGCTGGAGCGATTGAGGTACTGTTATTATACGATTTGAAAAGTATTAAATACGACGAATTTTGAACTTAAGTTGTCGATAGAATCGAGAGTAACCGTTTCAAATTCCGTTTCTGTCGGCAGTGCAACAAGGCGGACTGCATGATCCACCTGGAGGGCTTCACGGTGTGCGCGGCGGGCGAGGTGAAGTCGCGCGAGCACGCCTTCAAGGTGTACCACACCGGCACCGCCTTCTACTTCGCCTGCGACAGCCGCGACAGCATGCTGGCCTGGATCCACCTCATCCACCGCGCCACGCTCAACTCCGGCCCGCCGCAGGTGCGTGCCGTCCGCGTCCGGCGGAGGACTGACCGAACGTTTGCTTGAATTTTCAGCAGCGTACGAAAGGATAATTATCAATGATAATTATCACGATAAATATCAATGAAAATTATCACGATAATTATCATGATAATTATCTTGATAATAACAGATGGATAATTATCAGTTGATAATAACAAAAAAAATGCACTTGTGAAAGTGAATTGTATTCGAAGTTTTCGAACGTGTATTTTCGCACTTGCGTCTAGTGGTGGGCGCTAATCAACATAGATAGTTATAAAACTTAATTGTTTAGCTCGAGAATTATCACTATTTAACTAGCGTCAAAATATTAAATAACGGTAGAACTTGACAACAATCAGCTACAAAAAACATAAAGTAACATTTCCCTTAAAACAATATGACAAATGTATCTTATACTGTTGATAATTATCCGATAATTATCTGATAATTATCGTGGAGCGTAATTATCTTGATAATTTCGAACCCTGATTTTCAGAGCGACATATCGAAGCAGTTCTCCGAGACGGACTACTCGGACACGGAGTCGGACACGGACGGGCCGGAGCGGCGCGAGCGCGAGCGGCGCGAGGACAAGGACAAGTCCAAGTTCGGCTCGCTGCGCAAGCTGGCCGGCCGCCGCAGCGACTCGCACGAGAGCGTCGGCCACGCCTCCACCAGCCTGGACAGGAAGTACCTGCGCTTCTTCTCGCGCAACAAGACCAAGGACGACACCAAGAACGGCAAGGTGAGTCGCACGCTATAGGACAAGTCCAAGTTCGGCTCGCTGCGCAAGCTGGCCGGCCGCCGCAGCGACTCGCACGAGAGCGTCGGCCACGCCTCCACCAGCCTGGACAGGAAGTACCTGCGCTTCTTCTCGCGCAACAAGACCAAGGACGACACCAAGAACGGCAAGGTGAGCCGCATGAGCCGCGGCGAGTCGCACGCTTTTTGACTGAAAACATTGTGACGAAATATTTTTAAAACCTACTTTATTTTAGGGTCGACGAAATCGTTCATTCGGCTAAAGCCCAGTCTGTGAGCACGTAGAATTTTGTCCAATGACCCCAAGCACACACTCACTCCGGGTGCCAGTCGCACAGTCGCGACAGCAATATAATTACGCGCGAGCGATAAGGATGGGTAGCTTGGGGTCATTGGACGGGATTCTACGTGCTCACGGACCAGGCTTTAGTACTGTTATTGAATGTGATCAAAACTACTTTTCTTCGATCGACCCCCAGAGCAAGCATTCCGGTGTGCCCGTCCCGACCGAGCACTACCGCAGCTACCGGCGCGTGGAGGCGGCGGGGCGCTCGCCGGCCGCCGGGGCCCCGCCCGCTACCGGGGCCCCGCCCGCCGCCGGGGCCCCGGGCGCGCCGCCGGCCGCCGCCAAGATCCCCAAGCCCATCAACTACATCCACGCGTCCAACCCGAACCTTCTCGACTTCGAGAAGAGCGACTTCGTCACGAAGCCGACGCTGCGGGTCCCGCGGCCGCGCGCCAAGCCCGAGCCGAGCCCGATGGGGCTGGTCACGCTCGAGGAGTTCATGCTGAACAAGCAGGCCGAGGAGCGGAAGCAGGTGCGTCGCTTTGGAATTGCTACTGTTCTGAACTGGCGTTGAATTCCAAAATGATATTTTGCTAAATACTTTTTGAAATTAATCTAGGTATTATATCAACTTTTATTATTAAAACTATTTTGTACTGTCCCTGCGTCCATAATATTTGGAAAATTTTGCAGTTCTATTTCTTTTAAAAAAGAAATTAATGTTTTCTTTGAGTAAAATTTTCTATCTACAGTATTAAGAGTACTTTCCGTCCAGGTAACATAACAAAATTCCATTGAAATGATGATGCTTTTATTTAAGTTTTTTTTTGTTGTATAGATAGACATCATCCTTAAGTTTGGTACGCTCTTTATGGGACACCTGTATACCAAACTTTTATAATAAATAATAAATAGGTATCGGGTATTTTCGAACCCTGCTATTGATCTCAAGGCCCAAACATAATACGATGGAATGTGCACGTCCGCAGGTGTACACGAACCGCGTGCTGCTGGGCGTGGAGCGCGACCGGCCGGCCGACCTGCAGCTGCGGCTGGACCGCATCGTGCCCGACGTCATCTACGGCGAGCTGCGCGCCTGCGCGCACATGCAGGTACGCAATATACTGTTTAAAGGCTGTTCGCCGAGAGTTGATAAAAAAAAAATAATATCAGAGGTTCTAAACTCATTATAAATTGCGGCCCGCTAATTATTTTTGTCGATATAATGAAAAAGTTGGTAGATTTTCATTATTATCTCTTTTAAATTTACGGGAATTATTCCGGTTAGGGCATACGTGGGGATACGGATCGAACACGTGGCGTCCATGTGTTGGATAAAAAGTATTTCATTATTATCAAGTGGCTTATAGTGTATCCCAATGTTGGGCAAAGCCCTACCCACTGTCATACCATTCATTTCGGTCTTATGTAAAATAAATCTACTGCGTTTCACACATTGCGGCCCGCCGGCCGGGACGCTTGACGACAGCTGCGTGGCTCGTACCATGGTACTCAGTGCGCGTTGTGACAAACGACGCCCGCCATACAGAATGCGATAATTAAGCGACAGTCGCTATTGCAAGACATTTCATAATATTTATCAACTCTCGGCGAACAGACTTTAGCGCCATTTGGGTTTTGTTCCCCAGTCGATGAAGCACCTGATGTCGTGCCCTGAGTACCCAAGCAACTGCACTCGGGAGGATTTGATGAGTGCTACTGACAACGCCACTCTTGTGGCGGAGTTTTGGGCTGACACTGTGTAGGTTTGTTGTCGACACGAAAAAAGAAGATTTAGCGCCCATCTGTTAACGTACTCAGTAACTATTTGTAAGGCGCCATCTATGACTCTTATGCTTTGCCTTCGAACTTCTTATACCAAGGGACGAGCTAGTTCATACATTAAATCATAGATGGCGATACATCGATACGCGTACTGAATAATGCGCGTATGTAGTGCATTCTCGCTAAAATAATGTTTATTTCTTAATGTGCTTATACTAAAACGTTTATTTTATTTGTATAGAGAACAATAGTGCCTGGACAAACCTCAAGAGGATTTAAGACACTATTTAACCAAAGATGTAACGGCTAATTATGTAATAAATAAATAAATAAATAAAATATTATCGATTCGGTCCGCCACTGTAAGGCCCGATTTCCACTTTTCCACCAAGGCGGAGCAGTGTGGAGCGGAACATAGAAGTTTTGTAAGTATAACCAATTAGATTCCATTTTTTGCACATCTCCATTCGTTTTTCTGTAGAATTAACAATGCAGTGCGGAGAAAAGCGGAGATGGGCGGAGCGATGCGGTGTTTCATGGATAACAATAGGCTGACAGCTATGCACGGCTCACACATCTCTTGTCTCCGAACCGCTCTGCTCTTCTCAGCTCCGCTTTGGTGGAAATAGCCTGCCAGCTTCTTCTCTCAGTCAAAATATATTTATTTTGTAAAGTCTATTTAAATAATACTCAGACTGCAAATATATAAATACTCACGTCTCCGCACAGTTCCGCCTTGGTGGAAACCGGGCCGAAGTTTTTCACTGTACAGTTAGCGTCAAATAGTTTGTGACACTCAATGTGGCCAAAATCTTGACAACACAACCTTATTCCAATTCCAACAAAGACGTGTTGCGAACTTATTGTTATTTTTTAATAATCACGAAAACAAAACAAATAGTGAGGACAACGGAACTTTTTTGGTTTCAATGTCCACCACTGAGGGACAGAGCAACACATTTCTTCTCAGTGTCCACCAGTAGGGCCCAACGGGAAGATTTCAGTAGCTCTGTCCCCCACTGGTGGACATTGCAACTTTTTTTCTCGATGTCCACCAGTGGTGGACAAATAATGGGGGACATCGGGAATAAACGGTTACTTTGGGTGTCCAGGGCCGGATTAACCATCTCGGGGCCCCTAGGCACAACTCGTTTCGGCCCCCCCCTTTTTCATACCACAACAACGCAATTTGGAAATTTTTACTGTCTACATTACGAAATTGAATGAAGGTACCATCATTATCAACAACAGACTTTAGTCATAACATTGCAAAGGTATACTTCTAATTTTTTTAGATACAAAATCGTTTAAAACTTCTTGAAAATTATGTTTTTTATTTTTCATTTTTTAATCGGGAGTGCTGGGCCCCTGGTCATAGTGGGCCCCTAGGCACTGGCCTAAAGTGCCTTATGGATAATACGGCACGTGTCACGAACTATTTGACGCTGACTGTACCACATATCTACTGCGTGTGGGCAATACACAAATATCAATAGCGTCTCTGTGAGTTTTGTTCCCAACAGTGACACCGTTCAGGTGGTGAGAAGATTTATGCTGGATTTCTATATTCAATCCTAATCCAAATCCGTCCGCCAACTGTCAAATTTCAATATGTTTTTGGTCAAAATATCTGTGGTTTTCAATGTTTTTACATTTTCATATTGTTTATAAGACTATTTAAAGAATATTAAAGTGTAAATGAATCGAATATTTTAAATATTTTAATCTAAAACTGAATTCAATTTGACAGTTGTAATCTGGATTTGGACAAGGATAGAATTATTATGGGAAACGGGCGATAATCTAAACATGGAAGTGCCAAACTACATGCGTCTCTAGATTTTATAACTTTACAGTTCGTCTTGAACTTTTGTCATGAAAATGTTTTTGGTGGGATTTTAAACATTCAAAGATAAATTAAATAAAAATTTATTGAAATAGATTGTTTATTTTTGCAATTGAATCTGTCGGCATTTGATCGGTCCCTCGTTCCGCAGGGCCGCAGCCTGCCGCGCGCGCCGGCGGGCGGAGGAGCCGAGCCCGCCAGGCAGCCGCGCGACGCCGTCAAGCCGATCTCTGTCAAAGGGAAAGACGGGTACGTTACATTCAATATAATCAAATAAAATAAATCTATAACTACTGGATATCTTTAGGTTAGGTTTATTTGCTCTGACCTAAGCTAAGCCTAGGCGCAGACCATCAATTTTTCGTCGGCCGATAGTTTAGTCGGGCAGTTGATCAGTATGGGCATGTATGGGAGTGCGCACATTACGCCGATTCGATTTAGCCGATTCTTCATACAAATTAGAATCGGGCCCTACTATCGGCCAATTAAAAGTCGTTAGTCTGCGCCTAAATCAATGAGGGTTTCTATATTTGCCTTCGCAAGTTGGCGCCACTGATACATATACGATTGTTCTTTCACGAGCGTGGTGCCAACCTGGTCTTGGTAATGCGATAGTCCTGCCGCTTCAGCGGTCACTAGTTGGGGTTCCGTACGTTTTATCGAAAATCGTTTCATCGAATGTTATAACAAACAAGATAAAGACTTTAAACATAAACTTCACGAATTCAAACTAGTTCCGTCTCCTTTTTGCGAGTGTTCCACTGATGATATCAGTCATGAGCAGTCTGCCCATCATATCTTGTGGGAGTGTGATCTTTGGAAACATGAACGTGATATAATGCTTAATTCAATACAACATACATCTGTTTCCGCAATTTATTACACCGATCTTGTCGCGACAAGGAAAAATTTCCGTGCTTTTAAGCGATTTTGTGAAAAATATTATTGGCAGGTAGTTGCTAATTGCTCATAAGATAGGCCCCCTTAATTTAATTTATTGTCCGTGGTGCATAATCTTTTTCTTAAAGGTTTTAAACCTTTGTTTGTCACCTGTCATCCGCTTTGCAATGGAGGGAAGTCGAACCTTAATTTCGAACTCCTCCTATGTTCTTCTAATTAACTTCGTTGCGGTTCCAATGACAGTTTAATTTTCCCCCGGGACAAACTTGACCTTCATTGTTTGGGTTTTTGTGGCGGTCACGCTGTAGATCCTGGCTACACAGGAGTTGCAGTGGTGGGAACGAGAGGTGGGAATAGTCCCGTAACAAGATAAAGACGAGAACAAGACGAGGAGTAGAAGAGAAGAAGCCGAAGTAGAAGAGAATCAGAAGAAGAAGAAAAAAATTAATACTTATGATGATGATGTGGAATAGGCCTCCAGGGGACACCACGATAAAAAAACGCGTCACTCACTCTACCTCAAGGTGGGGTGGGAATGAGTTATTTGTCAAAACGCATATTGAAGCATACTTTGCGGCGCGTTAGTGGTGTGTGAGTGAGATAAATGACCGTTAGCTGTAACGGGTTCGATGTTATGACATTCGATGAAACGACTTTCGATAACGGCGACAGGGGGTGCCTACCGGCGAGCGCTAATGCGGTAGCTCATTGCACGGAGTGATTCCGTCATCTTGACGTTCATGGTCGCGTTGTTTTCTGGGCACATGCCGTCCGTACGCAACGTGCTGTTCCCTGAGTCATGCGTTCCCCGCAGGTACGAGAAGCTGGTGTACCCGTCGGAAGCGGCGGCGCTGGGCTACGAGAGCATCGACGAGCCCGCGCCGCCCGAGCGCTGGCGCGACTCGCTGCGCCGCAACGACAAGGTACCCGCGTGGGGACGCGCCACTTTCAACTAAAGCCTGGTCCGTGAGCACGTAGAATCCCGTCCAATGACCCCAAGCTACCCATCCCTATCGCTCGCGCGTGATTATGTTGCTGTCGCGCTCGCACACTCACTGCGGGCGCCCGTCGCACAGTCGCGATAGCAAAATAATTACGCGCGTGCGATAAGGATGGGTAGCTTGGGGTCATTGGACAAAATTCTACGTGCTCACAGACCGGGCTTTAGACTATGCCATTACGAGTATTTATTTTTTCTTTGATTGGGATGCGCGCCATGACGACCAATGTATGGGATAAGCCCATGTTAAATCGATGAAATGCCTTTGTTAAAGTATATCGTAGCGCGCACCCTAGGTCTACTGGGCGCTGCCTCATGCCGCTTTCCCTGCGCAGGTGCACTCGGCGCCGCGGCGGGCCGGCGCCGCGCCGCTCGTGCACGCCTCGCCGCTGCCGGCCGACAGGTGATACACAATACTCCTTTTTTTGTTTTAGTTGATGAATGTTACTATTGTTACTTTTTCTAAGTCTTAAGGTATTTTTTGATAACCGGTATCATAATCTTAATTCATTTGTGGCATAAAAATGAAACGTGACGAATATGATATTACAGCTGGAGCGGCAGCGGCAGCGGCGGCGGCGGCGCGGAGGGCTCGCGCCTGCGCCTGGTGCTCCGCCACGCGCGCCAGGTGAGCCACCGCCGCACTCGCTCGTCTAGGTGACGCGTTCGACTCGGCCCATTGGGCCTCGCCCCAAACGGGACGATCGCTTTGACAGGGTTCTCCGGTGACGGGGCGAAGCGCCCGGCGCGAATCGGTCCCGGAGATCTCTTCATGCATCGTTTTTCACCGACCGACGGTCCGTAGCGCAATACCGCACACGATTTTTTCGACGCTTAGCCTAGGCGCAGACCACCGACTTTTAGTTGGCCGATAGTTGAATCGGGCTGTCGATCAGTATGAACATGTATGAAAGTGCGCACACTACACCGATTTGGTATCGACTGATTCTTCATATAAATTAGAATCGGGCCTAACGATCGGCCAATTAAAAACCGGCGGTCTGCGCCTAAGCTTAAGATTCGTGCCGAAGATAACACGAACGAACGCCGCGAAACGTCCCGAACGTCAAACGCGCCACCCGGACGAGCTCGAAACGGAGACGACGAATTCGACATCGAACCGGTACCGTTCCCCAGTCGCCGCCGACGAGCCGCGCGGAGCCGGCGGCGCGGGCCGGCGCGGGCGCGTGGGGCGTGTACCCGCACCTGCAGTGCCCGCCCACCTTCCAGCCCGAGAGCTACTCGCTCGCGCGCCTCGCCCCGCCCCCGCCCGCGCCCGCCCCCGCCCCCCGCGACCCGCCCGCGCCCCGCGACAGCTAGCGCCGCGCCCACGCCGACGACCAGGTCAGTGACCGGAGCCACGCTCCGTTCCATATCCGACGTGAAACGAGACCACGAGGGAACTTCGGTCCGCGAATGTCCTCCCGTGGGTCGTCCGTTGACGAGGTCGGTGACCCCGCTGGGGGATGATTCGTCCGCTCGCTCTCCTCCCGCTCCGCGGAGCGTTTTATTAATTTATTTTCGAAACTTAACCGAGCACGAAGTTCGAAATGATACAAATAACGATCCACACGAGAAACGATTTTACGATTTCTATTAAAAAATGGGCGACCGGTCCCCAGGTGAAATGTTGGTTATTACGTTATGATCTTGACATATCTTCGACATGATCTATGATAAATGGGCTTTATAGTTTTGTAAATGTTCAATTTAACGAATGATCTTATGAACTATTGAATGTAACAAAGAGTGACTGATGTAAATATTTAGATTACACACACTGCCCTGACAACTTGGTGAATAGATCTGAAAAAGTAAGATTTGGCTACGACCAGCTAATTGAGAATAAATATGGTGTCACATAATGGCTACCACGATTATCTAAGTACGAGCACGTACGAGTGAACGTAAATGTGTGCTTTACTATCAGTAGCTTATTCAAATGTTGGGCGCAGAGTGAACAGTAACAAGTTCATAGGGTTTGAGGTAGAACGTCCCATTCGCATTGCGTCACGAATCAAAAAACGGTCACATTCGCATTCGGTCCCATTGGCATTCAGCCCCATTCGCAAAATGGTCACATTTGTTTCAAGTTTCAACCTATTGTTTTTAAGTTAAACTATTGTTTCAAAAATATAATGTGTAATATCTGAGTGTTACCATTTTGCGAATGAAAAAAAGCGAATGGGACCAAATGCTAATGGGATCGAATGTGAATGGGACCGTTTTTTGATTCATGATGAAATTTGGATGGGACGTTCAGTATTAAACCCGTTACAGGTTTCACTCATAGAATAGGTTATTCTGACCTGTCTATACAGGGTGTTAGGTAAATGGGTATATGAGCCGAGACCAGCCCATGTTAACATACTCATATAAATACTATAGTGGTGTCAGAAAGTCTGGGAAAGGTACCATTATTGAGTAATCAGCTGATTCAGTTTTTGTCGCCAAATTGCTTCGTGACACCCCTGAAAATTAATAGTACGACAAACTAGCGTAGATAAAACAAATAACAGAATTCATTATAATTTTCTGCCTAAAAATTTGTGTCTGAGAGGCAAAAACCTTAAGCAATCCCCCAGGAAAATCAGTCCATTTAAAAAGATTTAGCACAAGTCAAATACCCCCTTACCTTATTTGATTCGATTTGGATTTTGGATAAGTAAAAGTAAACAAAGTGGTCAAGAATTAATTTTACTTCATAGACTTACTTATTAAAATAAACTGAATAATCAGGACCGTTCATTGTGGACGTCATTCGGCTGAAATGAATGAACGAACGAATCATTAAACTTGATAACTTTGATTAAGGAAAATGAGACATTGTAGGTAATCATTTAAATTTTATCATCGTAAATCACGATATTGTGTACTAAAAATACCTTAACTAAAAATAAGACACCATTGAAAAAAAACCTTAGGCATTAAAGAAATGTGTCCAACGCACTGTTTAATCTTTGAAGGACAACGAAATGTCAAGAACAACGGAACCGGCACGTGTAGTGCGAGTGAGACGCAAGACGTATCGCACGGCGGCTTTCACTTGCAAGAAAGAGTCGGAAGATCATCGCGGCGCAGGAGTAGGGATGTGTAAGGAGGTGACATTGAAGGCAAAAAATCGATTAAGATTTTTCACGTGTTCAATAATAAATCGTTGAAGGATTTTTTTTTCTACAAATAATCAATTTAGGTGCCATTAATTCATTTCCAATCATTAATGGAGACGACATGTGGTTGGGGTTAAGTTTTCATTTCATGATTGACTAATGAAGGTCGAGGTGCCGTAATTACAATCCAGTTGGTCAGTACAGTAGTCTTGCCGATTGTCTATCAATAGCCTATCGAAAGGCCACCCAATCACTCATATTATCGTTAATAAAATATCATATTTTCTAAGAAAAATAACAGCGTTTATCGCAAATTTAGCTAAAACATTTCCAAAAGCATGGCAGATTACGGTTTTCTTAATTTACCAAATAAAACTGTGTTGTTTTTTTTTCAATGTCTTCTATCAATGCAATGGTATCGTTAAACTAATTTAGACCCATCGATAGTATGAGCGATTTCAGGTAGGTAGGCAGTGCCGTATTATCCATAAGGCACTTTAGGCCAGTGCCTAGGGGCCCACTATGACCAGGGGCCCAGCACTCCCGATTAAAAAATTAAAAAAGAAAATGTCAAAGATTATTTTTATGCAACAAAACTCAAACCACCTTTAAACTTCGCCTTATTTTGGTTTACACATTCAATCGTCATATTTAGATATTGTGGAACCTAAATCATTTTCGTGACGTTGGCATTACTGCTTTGGTTTACATGACAGGTCGACAGTCGACGCAATTCAGAGGCTAATGCCCGTTTTCACCATCAATCCCTAATGTTTAAGTGAGCCCTTTGAAAACAAAATACCTGTTATGTGTTACCATAGGGGTCACTTAAAAATTAGCGATTGATGGTGAAAACGGGCATCAGCCTCACTGCGGAGGCTAGGAAGAGGGGTGAGGGTGTGTTGACTGTATCATTCGATATAGCCAACGCTTTCAATACCATCCCTCATTCCACCATACTCGAGGCACTTCAACATCACAGAGTGCCTCAGTACCTTCGAGCGCTGCTGGCCGATTACTTACGGGACCGCGAAGTCCTGTACGTTAACAGAGACGGCCAGCTCAAACGGCGCGGCGTAGGCAGCGGGCTTCCGCAGGGTTCGGTGCTCGGTCCACTCTTGTGGAACCTAGGCTTCAACTGGCTCCTCCAGGGCATCCTACTCGCGGGCATGACTGTCATATGCTATGCGGATGACACTCTGGTCACTGCCCGGGGGAAGACATTTGGGGCCGCGGCACGGCTGGCGTCGGCGGGCGGCACATTAGTCGCTCGTAGAATACGACGCCTCGGCCTGAAAGTCGCGCTGGAGAAAACTGAGGCCCTCTTCTTTCCGGGGCCTCGCCAGCGCGACCCTCCCGACGCCCACATTGTGGTTGAGGACGTTAGGATCGACGTCAAAGGCCAGATGAAATATCTGGGTCTCACGCTTGACGGGAGGTGGCATTTTAGCCCGCACTTTAGCGGGCTAGCGCCACGCCTCCTCAAGCCAGCCGACGCACTGAGTTGGCTCCTCCCGAATTTGGGAGGGCCACAAACGAGGTGTCGTCGACTTTATGCTAGCGTTCTGAGGAGCATAGCGCTGTATGAGAGGGAGAATGCTGCCCTTCTGGGCAGGCCTCAGCGAGCCATAGCGCAGAGGGTCACACAAGGACCTACCGCACGGTAGGGCACGCTGCGGCGTGCGTCCTCGCTGGTACTCCTCCTTGGGAGCTCAGCTTCTAGCTCCCAAGGAGGAGTACCAGCGAGGACGGTTTGTCTGTCATCTATCGCTGGATGGCAGACCAGAAGGCGCGTGGAAAGCGCCCAGCCCCGGAGCGGCGCGGCGCCGTCAGGAAGGAAGACATGACTCGCGCGCAGTTTGGCCGCCGCACTCTGGATGCCATTAGTCCTGTTCTGAACCAATGGTTGGAACGACCGCACGGGTTCCTCACGTTCCATCTGGCGCAGGTGCTGACCGGGCATAGCTGCTTCGGTTCGTACCTGCATAGAATCGGGCGAGAGGAATCCCCGCTGTACCACAAATGCGGCGCGGCGGATGACACGGTGCAGCACACCCTCGCGGATTGCACAGGCTGGGAGGAGCAGCGCGGTGTCCTCACTGCGGTCGTGGGCCGGGATCTTTCGCTTTCGAGCCTGGTCAACGGTCATGCTAGGAAGTGAAGGATGCTGGAAGGCGGTCGCCTCCTTTTGCGAAGAAGTCATCCTTCAGAAGGTGGCAGCGGAGCGCGAGCGGGAGAACGATCCTCGCGCCTCATCGCTCCGCAGGCGGAGAAGGGGGTGGAGAAGGCGTTTGTTCGACCGTTCTACTCTGCCCTCAGGTGGCGGCCAGCAGGCTGGGGGTGCGGGGGCACCCTTGTAACCTCCGTCTGACGGGAACGGCTTTGCGTTTCGGGCCATTCCCGTCGGATCCCCACAAAGGGGGCGTGTAGGGTCCGCCGTGTAGGCGAGCTGTCGCCGGTGGTGTCACGGAACTCTATGGCTACGGCCGGATACTCGCGACACCCCCACTTGGGCCATCACGGAACGCCGCGGAGGTACTTTTAGTGGGTATACCCACCCCGTCCTTTTCAGGACGGAGCAGCGCCCTTTTTAGGGCACCGGGTGTCCCACATACTACCCTGTTCCCCGGCAGTGGTGACGGTGCGCAAAGCATTTCCTCCGCGACAAAAAAAGGGGGGCCCGAAACGAGCTGTGCCTAGGGGCCCCGAGATGGTTAATCCGGCCCTGTAGGTAGGATCTATCAATTAATCGATAATTGATTGATTTTAAGACATTCCTATTGATTACTCAGATGGTTTTCAAACAATTTGATATTTTAATCGATTTTTTGTAATATCAATATCGATTACCGATTTTATGGAAAAAATAATGACCCCGCACTAGTTGCACCGCGCCATGCGGCCATGTTTATTTGTTTACATTATTTTGTCAGTAAATAATTTGCGTTCGTTGCGATGTTTTGTTGTTGACGTTCTGGATAATTAGATATTCAAATAGCTAAGTAATACAGTGAAATTATGGTGATGTGTGTTGAGTGGTGTTGGTGCAATAGGACTTTGTGTCTTCTTTAGTGTGATGAACGATTTATTTCCGGGAGACCTTCCGTTCCACGATGCCTTGTAAATGTTTTCGCGGGTGGGTGAATCGACACCACCATACCACCGAAGGGAGACCCGGAGATCCCGTTCTTGAAAATAGGATTTCACTACAAGAACCTACCCGGTCACTTGAAAGCGTGGGAAGGTGAATTAAGTGAGTGGATGGATGTGATAGATGTGTTGCGATTCGTTTTGTGAATTAGAGTGAAGTGTTACCCCCTGAATANATTGGTTCAAAAGTAATAATAAAAGTGGGCGGTGCCGACTCGCGTCAAAATTTATGAATGAAATACCGTTTGACCACGTTTGACCTAGGAGGGAGTTGCGCGATCGTAGGGCTGTCCAAAAATTTAAATAATAATAATTTATTTAGTTTTGTATGGGAAAATATTTTTTATTAAATATTACGATATCCACTTTCTGACACCACTATAGTATTTATATGAGTATGTTAACATGGGCTAGTCTCGGCTCATATACCCATTTACCTAACACCCTGTATAGTATATATTTTTTTTATTTCAGACAAACGATTTATACATGGTTGTGAGTGAGCAATCGTTTGTGTAGAAATTAAAGTAGATAGAAACAAATTGTGGTTTGAAATTATGCATATTATAGTAATTGAATTGTTTAGGGAGTATTTTTACAAGGTTGTTTTAGTAAAGAACATTTAAAACGATTACAATGTTGAAATTATATTTTATTACATTAGAAAAAAATACTCTTATATCTGTCGAAGTGTCGCAAATGATTTG